GGTGACTCTGGTCCTGCTGCGGGTGCTGAGCCTGGGGGTGCTGACTCTGGGGGTGCTACGCGCGTGGGTGCTGAGCCTGGGGGTGCTGAGCCTGGGGGTGCTGAGTCTGGGGGTGCTGAGCCTGGGGGTACTGCGACTGGGGGTGCTGCGCCTGGGGGTGCGGAGTCTGGGGGTGCTGAGCCTGGGGGTGCTGCGACTGGGGGTGCTGAGCCAGGGGGTGCTGCGTCTGGAGCTGCTGAGCCTGGAGCTGCGGAGCCTGCGGCCACTGGACCTCCCCTTGTGGCGTCTGGCGGTGCGGGACCTGGCGGTTCTCCGGGTGCTTCGCCTCGGCGGGAGCCCCTCTCTCCACAGGAGCTGCGCGAGTGGTTTGCTCGCCGCTGGAGACGTACTGCTGGAGCTGGAGCTCCTTCGGCTGCTGAGGGTACTTGTGCCGCTGGTCCCGGAGCTGCTGGGCCCTCGGGTCCGCCTGGAGCTGGAGCTGCTGCGGGTGTTGGTGCTGAGACTGCTGCTGTCCTTCCTGGCGGTGGTCCTGCTGCGGGTGCTGCTGGTGCTGCTGGAGGTCCTGCCGCTGGAGGTGCTGTTGGCGCTGGTGCTGCTGCTGAGGGTGCTGTCCCTGCTGTGTCTGGAGTCGCCGCGCGGCCTCGGCCGTACTTCGTTCCACTCCTACAGCAGGTTCTTGGTCTTTCTCCTCCTGCAGCGTGTCCACCGCCTGTTCATTCACAGTCCCAGTTAGAGCCCGCCTCCCCACTTCCTGCTCCCTCTCCTTACACTGGTCCCACTGGAGGTCTTGCTGAGCGTCGTGAGCCTGCGTCTCGTCTTGCGTCGCCTGATCGTGCTGCTCGCGCTAGTGGTCGCGGTTCGCGTCAGCGTCCTCCTCCTGTCCCTGGCACGCACCGGATGTCTTTGCGTCCGTCCACTGCTCCTCTGCGTGCCCCTTTGCCTTCTCCTCCTGAGTCCTCCCTTCCTGCACTTACTGACCCAGAGTCCGACTCTCTTCGTGCTGCTAGTCCTACTGTCACACGTCTCCTTGCTACTGTCGTCACTGACCCCTCTTTTGAGTCCACTGCTGTGTCTGCGCTTGTTGCTGAGCTCGTCGACTTTGCTGCTCGCTGTCGTCTAGACTACGCTGCCGGTCTTGTTGCTGAGTCTGCGTCTGTCTGTCCTCCGTCCGTCGGGGGTGAGTGTGCTCTTGGCACGGACGTCCTTGAGGACAGGCAGGAGGAGTTCCAGTGTCTGGCTGCTGCTTCACCTCATCTCGCGTCCGTCCTACTTGCCCCTGAGGGAGACCCGGATGCACTAGACATCCCGACTCCGCGCTCTTACGCGGAGGCCGTAGAGGGTCCCTACTCCTCTCAGTGGCAGGCAGCTATGGATGCAGAGATGGCGTCCTGGAAGTCCACAGGCACCTACGTTGACGCGGTGCCCCCTCCTGGGGCGAACATCGTCAGTGGCATGTGGATCTTCAGGGTGAAGCGGCCGCCGGGCTCTCCACCTGTCTTCAAGGCGCGCTACGTCGCTCGTGGCTTCAGTCAGCGGCAGGGAGTTGACTACTTTCAGACCTTCTCTCCCACCCCGAAGATGACCACTCTTCGGGTGCTGCTGCACATAGCCGCTCAGCGCGACTACGAGCTCCACTCTCTTGACTTCAGCACTGCTTTCTTGCAGGGTAGCCTGGACGAGGAGATCTGGCTGCGCCGTCCACCTGGCTTCACTGGGACTTTCCCTCCTGGCACCCAGTGGAGCCTCCGACGGCCAGTCTACGGTCTCCGCCAGGCACCGCGTGAGTGGCACGACACACTGAGGACTACGCTTGCGGCTCTTGGGTTTGCTCCCTCTACTGCTGACCCGTCGTTGTTTCTGCGCACCGACACTTCTTTGCCGCCGTTCTACATCCTCGTGTACGTCGACGACTTGGTCTTTGCCACAGCTGACACTGCTGGACTAGCCTACGTGAAGTCCGAGCTGCAGAAGAGACACACGTGCACAGACCTGGGTGAACTGCGCAGCTACCTTGGCTTGCAGATCACTCGGGACAGAGCACGCTGCACCATTACCCTGACTCAGTCACACATGGTGCAGCAGGTCCTTCAGCGCTTCGGCTTCACGTACTCCTCGCCTCAGGCCACTCCTCTGTCTACTCGCCACTCGCTCTCAGCTCTGCCTTCGGATGAGTCCGTAGAGTCGAGTGGCCCGTACCCAGAGCTTGTTGGCTGCCTCATGTACCTGATGACCTGCACACGACCTGACCTTGCATACCCTCTTAGCATTCTTGCACGCTATGTTGCTCCTGGGAGACACCGACCAGAGCACATGGCTGCAGCGAAGAGGGTGTTGCGCTACTTGTGCAGTACGTCGGGCATGGGGCTAGTGCTTGGAGGGCGGAGTCCAGTGGTCCTCACTGGGCACGCGGACGCTTCTTGGGCTGACGACCAGGCTACGCAGCGGTCGTCGCAGGGTTACACCTTCAGTCTTGGTTCCGGCTCTGTCTCGTGGCGGGCTACTCGCTCGTCCTCTGTTCTCGGCTCCAGTTGTGAGGCTGAGATCTACGCCGGGGCCATGGCTGCACAGGAGCTTCGCTGGCTCACCTACCTGCTGACTGACCTTGGAGAGCAGCCTCATTCTCCTCCAGTGCTGTACGTAGACAACAAGGCCATGCTGGCCTTGTGTCGAGAGCAGCGCTTGGAGCACAGAACGAAGCACATTGCTCTCCGTTACTTTCTTGCTCGTGAGCTGCAGCAGCGTGGTCAGTTGCGACTTGCGTACGTGGCCTCTGAGGCCAACACTGCTGATGTGTTCACCAAGGCACTTGCGCCTTGTGACCATCAGCGCTTCTGCACTCAGTTGGGTCTTGTACCTGTCTTGCCTCACTTGCTCTCCTCTTGACCTTGCTTGTACTGTCACATATATATACCTGCTCTTGCTTGTCTAGCTCTATATATATTTGTGTGTCCTCCTGCATGTGAACTGGCCTTGTGGCCTTGTCGTTGTGCTCGGACTGTGTGGTGACTTTGTGATCCACCCTGAGCTTGCTGTGCTTTGCGTGACTGGTCTTGTGACCCCTTGTTCTCCCCCACTTTGCCTATGGGGGTGTGTCAGAACATTATATAGCTTATGCTGTTGTGTAGGCTATAGTGGGGTATCTCATAGGGGGTACAACCCAATTAGGGTTTCCTATATGTACTCACTTCATTCATAGTTCATTCATTCGCGTTCTCCTTCCCACAGCTCGTCCCGCGGGTCGACTTTTGCCAAAATCATTGGGGAAGAAATTCGCACATGCAAAATTTCGCCGACCAATGATGGTTGGTCGATCAAAAGAGACCGTTCAGTTGATGCCAAGAGTTGACGATCGATGCCCGTAGGTTAGCGCCATGCCAACGATCAATTTCATTGACCGCCGAGGTACAAATCCATCCATCGACTTCACTTCGTTGGCCAGCATCTCGTCGTCTCCGCTGTGGTCAGCTTCACTGTAGTTGGCTTCCTCCTTCAAGTCGGCGAACCAAACAAGCCGACTCCTCCTCCAAGTCAGCCTCAACCACAAAGTCTAGCCGACTGTAGACCTTGCGCATCAAACAGCAAAGCCAGCTTCACTCAAGCAAAGGCGGAGCAACTTCTCGTTAACACTCATTTCTTATTACAATCGTTTTGGTTAGATACTAGGTAACTTATCAAAACAGCAGGCTTTATTTAGCGTGCACCCATAAGGAAATATTGTGATTTTTTTTTCCCATTTACCGATTGTGAGGTGACAAGCTTACATGTTTTAATGCAGTTCCTTCCATAATTTTGATTATGTTTTGCCTACCGAACCCCCCCCCCCCCCCCCCCTCAATGGTGCTAAGGGGCAGGACAACAAGGGCATGTCACACGAGTGATGGGTTGTTAATGTGAAGAAACAGGAAAGAATGATTGACTAGGAAATGAGTTGGGTACAAATATGAAACCCTAGAAAACTGTACCCCTTAGTGTCTACCCATTTTCCTCCATCACACGCCAGTAACATGGTCTCAGCTGTCAGGGGCGGCACCATCCCTCCCTCCTTCAGCCGACTCAAGAATCTGCGCTATTTGCCTCACAAACTCACACACACGCCCTTGTCTCTTCCCCACCTGCCCGCCCTTCATCCCACCTTCCCTCCCTCCATCACACCCCAGTAACATGGTCTCGGCTTCCCTCCCTTCCTCCATCACACCATCCCTCCCTCCCTCCATCTCACCCCAGTAACATGGTCTCAGCTGCCAGTGGCGGCATCATCCCCCCATCTTTCATCCGACTCAAGAGGCTGCGCCATTTGTACGTGGTATCACTGTTCTTTTGAGGCTTCTCAAAAGTCTAGTTTTGAGGCTTCTAGTTTTGAGGCGCCTCAAAACAAGAGGCTGCGCCATTTGTACGTGGTATCACTGTTCTTTTGAGGCTCCTCAAAAGTATCACTGTTCCTTATGTGCGTGCGTGCATTTATGTGCATGTTGTGTGTGTGTGGGGATGGAGGGGGAGAGAAGGGGGAGGGGGGTATTGGGGGATTGGTGGGCGTGGGGGTGGGCGGGTGTGCGTACCTATGTGTTCGTGTTTGCATCCCTTCCTCCCTCAGCCCACTTAAGAAGCTGCTGTATGTGGTAACACTATTCCATGCGTGCATGCGCACATGTGCATGTGCGGGTATGTGTGGGTGGGTGTGCGTACCTATGTGTTCGTGTTTGCATCCCTTCCCCCCTCAGCCCACTTAAGAAGCTGCGGTATGTGGTAACACTATTCCATGCGCACATATATGTGTGTGCCTGTGTGGGTATGTGTGGTTGTGGGCAGGTGTGGGTGGGTGTGTATGTGTGCGTGTGTGTGTGTGTGTGTGTGTGTGTGTGTGTGTGCGCGTGTGTGCGTGTGTGCGTGTGTGTGTGTGTGCGTGCATGCGTGCGAGCGTGTGTGTGTGTGTGTGTGTATGTGTGTGCGTGTGTGTGTGTGTGTGTGTGTGTGTTACCCCTCCACTCCTCCATCCATTGGCCTTACACTCTCCATTGCCCCTCCACCCCTCCATTGCCCCTCTCCTCCCCTGCGTAATTGTCTTCCTTTGCCCATCTGCCCATCTGCCCATTCGTCAACTCGCCAAATTGCCCACTGCCCCTCCGTGTCTTCATGTGCCCCTCTACCCCTGTCATTTCCAATAACAACAACTTGGACGGCGCCATTCCTGCCTTGCCTTCCTCTCCTCTCCCCCCTCCCTCACTTGTCTTCCTTTGCCCATACGCCCATTTCCCCGTTTGCTCACTTGCCCACTGCCATGCCCTCCGCCCCTCCATGTGCCCTCCACCCCTCCATGTGCCCTCCGCCCCTCCATGTGCCCTCCACCCCTCCATGTGCCCTCCGCCCCTCCATGTGCCCTCCGCCCCTCCATGTGCCCTCCACCCCTCCATGTGCCCTCCGCCCCTCCATGTGCCCTCCACCCCTCCATGTGCCCTCCACCCCTCCATGTGCCCTCCGCCCCTCCATGTGCCCTCCGCCCCTCCATGTGCCCTCCGCCCCTCCATGTGCCCTCCACCCCTCCATGTGCCCTCCACCCCTCCATGTGCCCTCCGCCCCTCCATGTGCCCTCCCCCCCTCCATGTGCCCTCCGCCCCTCCATGTGCCCTCCGCCCCTCCATGTGCCCTCCGCCCCTCCATGTGCCCTCCGCCCCTCCATGTGCCCTACGCCCCTCCATGTGCCCTCCGCCCCTCCATGTGCCCTCCGCCCCTCCATGTGCCGTCCGCCCCTCCATGTTCCGTCCGCCCCTCCATGTGCCGTCCGCCCCTCCATGTGCCGTCCGCCCCTCCATGTGCCCTCCACCCCTCCATGTGCCCTCCACCCCTCCATGTGCCGTCCGCCCCTCCATGTGCCCTCCACCCCTCCATGTGCCGTCCGCCCCTCCATGTGCCGTCCGCCCCTCCATGTGCCGTCCGCCCCTCCATGTGCCGTCCGCCCCTCCATGTGCCCTCCGCCCCTCCATGTGCCCTCCGCCCCTCCATGTGCCCTCCGCCCCTCCATGTGCCCTCCGCCCCTCCATGTGCCCTCCGCCCCTCCATGTGCCCTCCGCCCCTCCATGTGCCCTCCGCCCCTCCATGTGCCCTCCGCCTCCGCCCCTCCATGTGCCCTCCGCCCCTCCATGTGCCGTCCGCCCCTCCATGTGCCCTCCGCCCCTCCATGTGCCCTCCACCCCTCCATGTGCCCTCCACCCCTCCATGTGCCCTCCGCCCGTCCATTTGCCCTCCGCCCCTCCATGTGCCCTCCACCTCTCCATGTGCCCTCCGCCCCTCCATGTGCCCTCCACCCCTCCATGTGCCCTCCACCCCTCCATGTGCCCTCCGCCCCTCCATGTGCCCTCCATCCCTCCATGTGCCGTCCGCCCCTCCATGTGCCCTCCGCCCCTCCATGTGCCCTCCGCCCCTCCATGTGCCCTCCACCCCTCCATGATCGCACCACAGAGTCCTCAATGGCAACAATCCTGGTCGGCGCCATCCCTCCCTTTCTCTCCTCTCCTCGCTTATTTCTCTTCATACGCCCATTTTCCCGTCTGCTCACGTGCTCATTGCCCCACTACCCCTCTGTTGGTGCAACCCTACGGTTTGCACTCGGCTTGTTGTCCGTGTGCGTGAATGTGTGTGTGTATGGAATGGTATGAGGGCATGGGATAATATATATTTCATGCTTATAATTGTGTGTGAATGTTGAGTCATGATGTCGAGTGTGTGTGTCGAGTCAATAGCGAGTTATCGCTAGACGCGTGTTACGCGGTCGTTTGTGTCTCGCGCGCGGTTTCTATTTTGTCGTGCGCGGTTTCTATTTTGTCCTGTGTCGAACGTTCGGCGTGTCGCAGGTGTGTGCAGCAGACCCATCAAGAACTCAAGGATGAGTTTGTGATGAAGAGCCCGAGCCTTGGTGTCAAGCCTCAAGTGATTTCGAAGCTTGCCAAAAGGGTACACCTCAAGATATTGAAGATAGTTACATTACTTTGTGTAGTGTAACATTTCACTTGGTGTAGGCCCTAGTGAAGGGTAGTTTCGAGACCCTTCGTGGTTGGGGACAGTGTGGCACTATTCCACATCACTGTACCTCGGCTCTTGGGGTTTGTAGGAGCTGGGAGTCATTCCCAACTCGTAACTCTTCCTATCTTGTGTTCTAAGACTATAGTGGCTGCGGAAGAGCGCACAAGGCTATCTCTTACTTGGGCAAGCGTTGGGGAGCAGTCAGATCCGTCACATCAAGCCATTCCAGCGTGAACCAGAGAAAGGACCAAAGGCATGGGCTGCTCTCAAGGGTGTACATGCTCCTGCAACAGTGGCGGTAGCGGTGGTGTTGGAACGGCAAATGGCGGCACTACGAATTGAAGAAGACGAAGCGGTTGAAGAAGGGGTGCAGAAATTCTTCGACTTGTTGACGCGGCTTGAGGGAGCTGATTTGAACTACAGTGAGCTCCAAAAGAAGACCAAGTTGCTGGCCTTACTCCCAGAGTCATGGTCCTCGCTCATCATCAACCTTAATCGCGACTTGCCCCGCCTCTCGCTTGAAGACGTGAAGCGAGCTATCCTTCAAGAGGATTTCCGCCGCCGTGAGTTGGCGAGTGCGGATGGCGCTGGGGCAGCGAGCATCGGCCGTGGATATGGTCGAGGAAGAGGCAGAGGACGAGGGGGAGGAAGGTTTGGTGGCAGCAACTTCGGCGGAGGCCGCAGGAGTGGCGGTTACGGCAGCGACGACAAGAGCTACGGACGCGGTCGCGGCCGATTCGACGGCGAGTGTCACTATTGCCACAAGAGCGGACACATGTGGCGCGACTGCTACAAACTCCCTGATGGTTGGACCCCTGCTCAAGGCCAAGAGGGTAGAGGAGCAGGAGGAGGGAGAGGACGAGGCCGTGGAGGCCGTGGCGGTCGCGGTGGCGGAGCTGCAAACATGAAGAGCGGAGACAACGACAAGGACCCGAGCGACGATCGATACCCGGGTCTATTCTACTTCGTGTCGACGCAAGTACCGGCTGGTCCAGAGAAGGATGAAGGCTTTGAGGAGCCAGCAGCTGTGGGGAAGGTGACCCTACACCCCCTGGACTATTGGGTGATTGATAGTGGCGCTACCTATAGCATGACACCTCGCCCGGACTTGCTCACCGAACTCGAGCCGTCACCGGTGAAGCATGTCACATCGGCTTTGGGGCAGCGAGCAGAGGTGAAAGGCATGGGCAAGGCCATGTTCAAGGGTGCTGATGGGAAGATGGTGGGCCTCAAGAACGTGCTTTGGGAGCCCAGCCTTGCTGCAAACCTGATTTCCGTGCGGCGGTTGGCAAAGGCCGGCATGGACACGAACTCGAAGGGAGCCAAGACCTACACCGCAAGACTTGGCGATCGAATTCTTTGGGACCTTCATGAGGACAGGGATGTCTACAACGAGATGTGGCAGATCCCAGTGGTCCCTATGCCTAAGGAGAGGCAAGTGGCAGCAAGCATCAGCACCAAGGATGGAGCGGTCGGTAGCGACGATGGCGCGAACGGTCGCGCTAAGGAGAATGAGCTCAAGAAGAGCAAACCTGGAGGGACCAGCAAGTTCAGTGAACCTAAGGAGAGTGGTGCAGCAACCAAGGAGCAGCAAAAGGGTGAGGAGAACCCAGAGGCAGTAGCGGAGGAGGACTACGGAGAGAGTATGTGGGGCGCTATTGCGAGCGCGGCATTCTCCAATCCAACTTCGGCTACGGGGGAGTGTGATTGGCTCACCTTGCATCGGCGCATGGGGCATGTGGCCCTGCCCATCTTGCAGCAGCTAGTGAAGAATGAGATGGTTGCTGGCATATGTGTGAAGGGGGAGCCCGATGAGGTGCTTGGCTGCCCGACGTGCATTCAAGCCAAGTTCACCCGGTTTCCGTTCCCTAGTTCGGAGGCAACGGCAAAGGCACCGCTTGATGAGGTGGTGATGGACGTGGTGGGCCCCCTGAAACTTGGAGCTGCTGGAGCCGAGTATTTTCTCACCATTGTCGACGTCTACACCCGCATGACTTGGGTGTACGTGCTGGCCAAGAAGAGCGACGTGGCTGAAACGTTGAAGACGGATTGGTTCCCGATGGTGGAGCGGCAACAAGACCGTCTAGTCAAGTCAATCCGCACCGATCGAGGGGGAGAGTTCCTGAGCAAGGAGTTTGGGTTGTGGCTGAAGAAGAATGGTATTCGGCACTCCCTCACCATGCCATACTCCCCTGCAATGAACGGCATCGCCGAGCGAGCGAACCGCACAATCACGGAGGCGGCACGCGGGTTGCTCATTGAAGCCGGGCTACCCGACTATTTCTGGCCTGATGCGGTGCGGAGCGCGTGTGTGGCCAAGAACAGAGCCTTGACTCATGTGGGAGCAGACAAATGGGTGCCCTATGTGGAGTGGATAGGAAGGAAGCCAAAGGTGGATATGCTTCGGGTGTTCGGGTGCATGTGCATGGCGCTCGTGCCTAAGCATCTTCGGCACAACAAGCTTGGTGCCAAGGCGGTGTGGGCCGTGCACTTGGGCATGGCTCAAAACAGCAAGGGATGGCTTCTTTGGGACCCATTCACCAAGAAGTTCTTGGTGAGCAGGGACTGCAAGTTCATGGAGAACTTCATGTACAAGGATTGGAAGGCGGAGAATGAGGCGAAGATAGGCGTGCGGTTTGGGGAGGTGAAGAGTTCCGGTTTGGAGCATGTGGAGCTGCCTTTGGAGCTGAGCAGCGGCAGCACAACCACAAGGCAATCCTCCCTTGTGAATGGGGGAGAGGAGGCCAATGATGCAGAGGAAGAAGAGGAGGAGGTGCAGCAAGTGAGCGAGCGTGCACCGTCACTCCCTTCCCGTACTACGAGTGCTCCACGGATTCGAGCCACACCGCAGCAACGCCAAGGCCTTCAAGTCCCTGCAGCTGAGGAGGAAGGAAGGGGGAAGAGGAGAGTTCAACCCCCTAATAGGCTGACCTATGATGCGCCGGGAAAGCAGGGCAAGACAGCCCTGGCCGGAGCGGCAATGATGGTCGGAGACGACGAGGAGAGTGACTACGAGGAGTGTGCCTTCGCGTTCTTCTCTCCGGTGGAGATGCCGGGAGAACCAGCAACTCTCAAGGAGGCTTTGGAGAGTAGTGATGCTGAGGAGTGGAAGAAGGCCATGGAGAGTGAGCTGAAGAGCATCGAGGAGAATGACACGTTTGAATTGGTGGAGCTACCGGAGGGGCGTACGGCGATAACGTCCAAGTGGCTCTTCAAAATCAAGTCGGATGCCGACGGCAAGATCGAGCGCTACAAGTCTAGGCTTGTAGCCAAGGGGTACCAGCAGAAGGAGAAGGTGGACTTCAAGGAGCTGTTTGCCCCTGTGGTGAAGCCGACGACGCTGCGAACCCTATTCGCGGGAGCCGCCATCAAAGGATGGGTAGTAAAGCAAATGGACATCGTAACGGCATTCCTTAACGGCATCCTTGAGGAGGAGATTTTTATGGCGCAGCCAGAGGGGTTTGATGATGGTAGTGGCAGAGTGTGGAAGCTGAAGAAGGCCCTCTATGGGCTGAAGCAGGCCCCTAGGCAATGGTACATGAAGCTGCGCGAAGTGTTGGAGGGGATCGGCTTCACTCCCTCAACGGCCGATCACTCCTTGTTCATGCTTGGCGAGGGGGAGCAGAGGAGTTTCATGGTGGTTTATGTGGATGACATCCTCATTTTCTCACCCAAACCCTAAACCTTGTGAAGGAGGTGATGCTGAAGCTTCAAGACAAGTTCAAGTGCAAGGCCCTTGGTGACGTGAGCTTCTACCTTGGGCTCCACATCGAACGAGATGTGGAGAAGCGGTGCATGCGGGTGCATCAACAAAAGTACCTGGAGGCATTGGCTGCCAACTTTGGGCAGATTGAAGGCCATGTGGCTACACCCTTTCCCTCTGGGTTCAAGTGTGTGAAGGGACCAGAGGAGGAGAGCGTTGGTGAAGAGGAGAGGCGCCGATTTCACTCGTTGGTGGGCAGCCTCATGTATGCGGCGGTAAACACCCGACCGGACGTCGCGTTTGCTACCGGGCAGCTGGCTAGGGTTGTGCAATGCCCTAATGAGGAGCAGGTAGCAGCTGGAATGAGGGTGGCCAAGTATCTTGGCCAAACACCGACCGTTGGGCTGCAATACTCGGCGGCGGCACAAAGGCGCCAAAAGGGCGCGGATGGTGTTGAACCCGGGCGTTTGTTCCTCACCGCCTACTCGGATGCTTCATATGCATCAGAACCAGAGGACATGACAAGTGTGGGAGGCTTCATATGCTGTGTTGGTGGAGGCCCAACTGCTTGGGAGAGCAAGAAGCAGGTTGACCAAGCTTTGAGCTCGGTGGAGTCCGAGTACATGGCACTCTTCCGTGCCGTACGGGAGATTGTGTGGCAGCGGCGTTTGTTGGCTGAATTGGGGGAGGAGCAGCAAGGACCTACCCCACTGTACTGTGACAGCCAGGGTGCCATTGCTCTTGCTAAGAACCCTGTGTTGCATGGACTCACGAAGCACATGAGAGTGAAGTGGCATTGGACGAGGAGCATGGTAACCGCGGGTGAAGTTGAGTTGCGCTACGTGAAGACCACGGGGCAGCCGGCTGACATGATGACCAAGAGGCTGGTGGAGCAGCAGCATTGGAAGTGTTGCAAGCTGGCTGGGATGGCTCTGAACTGAGAGAGCAACATATCCTAAGGCCAACAATCCGAGGGGGAGTTTGTTGGTGCAACCCTACGGTTTGCACTCGGCTTGTTGTCCGTGTGCGTGAATGTGTGTGTGTATGGAATGGTATGAGGGCATGGGATAATATATATTTCATGCTTATAATTGTGTGTGAATGTTGAGTCATGATGTCGAGTGTGTGTGTCGAGTCAATAGCGAGTTATCGCTAGACGCGTGTTACGCGGTCGTTTGTGTCTCGCGCGCGGTTTCTATTTTGTCGTGCGCGGTTTCTATTTTGTCCTGTGTCGAACGTTCGGCGTGTCGCAGGTGTGTGCAGCAGACCCATCAAGAACTCAAGGATGAGTTTGTGATGAAGAGCCCGAGCCTTGGTGTCAAGCCTCAAGTGATTTCGAAGCTTGCCAAAAGGGTACACCTCAAGATATTGAAGATAGTTACATTACTTTGTGTAGTGTAACATTTCACTTGGTGTAGGCCCTAGTGAAGGGTAGTTTCGAGACCCTTCGTGGTTGGGGACAGTGTGGCACTATTCCACATCACTGTACCTCGGCTCTTGGGGTTTGTAGGAGCTGGGAGTCATTCCCAACTCGTAACTCTTCCTATCTTGTGTTCTAAGACTATAGTGGCTGCCATAGTACCGTTCGTTCAAACCGATGCTGTGTCGTCAATTCTTTATCAAATCGTGCAATCTAAATTGCTAATTGTAGACGACGTGAAGACGCTCCAGATCCAATTTGAATCAAGTCATTTGCAGCTGTGAGCAGAACGCTATCAACGTTTGAAGCCGCTGTGCAGAAATCCGTCTGTGCTCTCTATCTTTCGTTTTAGGCACATTCAAGCCTATTGTGACTATAACACCCTCCTTGATCACAGAGTCCTGATGAACAACAAATTGGCCGGCCCCATTCCTGCCTTCCTCTCCTCCCTCACTGCTCTAACACACCTGTACGTTCTCACTCGTTCCTCCATATATCTCCACACCACAGCACTAAGTCTGTTATGTTGAGTCTACTTTTGAGGCGCCTCAAAACTCACTGCTCGTACACACCTGTACGCCCTCACTCTATATCTCCACACCACTGCACTACCTTGTTGCGGTCTACTTAGCCGTATCGTCTCTCTTACTCCTCCCCTGAGTTTGCCTCTGCGTTTGCCTCTGAGTTTGCCTCTGCGTTTGCCTCTGCGTTTGCCTCTGCGTTTGCCTCTGCTCGACTGGTGCGTGCCGCCCGCACCACCCTTGCATGCCACCCGCCCAGATCACTATCGCGTGCAACAGAATGTTTCTCTTCGCCCTGCCTTCTTCCCGCTCCCTCCCCCACCCCCCCCTCCCACGTTCTCCCACCCCCCAGATCTCTTGGTTCCATTCCATTCCAACCAGCTCTCCTCCCTTCACACTTCCCGCCCCACTCTCCCACCTCCCTCTCCCCGCTCTCCCCCCAGATCCCTCGGTTCCAGCCAGCTCTCCTCCTCCATTCCCGCTAAAATCCCCAGGCCCCAGAAGCTCACTATACTGCTCCACTTTCTCCCACCCCTCCCCCATCCCCCATCCCCCCATTCTCCCCCCTTCCCAGATCCCTCGGTTCCAACCAGCTCTCCTCCACTATTCCTGCTAAAGTCTCCAAGCTTAAACCTCCCTCCCCCTGTTCTCCCCACCTCCCCTCCCCCACCTCCTCCCTCTCCCCGTTCTTCCCCACCTCCCCTCCCCCACTTCCCTCCCCCCGTTCGTCCCCACCTCCCCTCACCCACCTCCCTCCCCCCATTCGTCCCCACCTCCCCTCACCCACCTCCCTCCCCCCATTCGTCCCCACCTCCCCTCACCCACCTCCCTCCCCCCGTTCGTCCCCACCTCCCCTCACCTACTTCCCTCCCCCCGTTCGTCCCCACCTCCCCTCACCCACCTCCCTCCCCCCGTTCGTCCCCACCTCCCCTCACCCACCTCCCTCCCCCCGTTCGTCCCCACCTCCCCTCACCCACCTCCCTCCCCCCGTTCGTCCCCACCTCCCCTCACCCACCTCCCTCCCCCCGTTCGTCCCCACCTCCCCTCACCCACCTCCCTCCCCCCATTCGTCCCCACCTCCCCTCACCCACCTCCCTCCCCCCATTCGTCCCCACTTCCCCTCACCCACCTCCCTCCCCCCATTCGTCCCCACCTCCCCTCACCCACCTCCCTCCCCCCGTTCGTCCCCACCTCCCCTCACCTACTTCCCTCCCCCCGTTCGTCCCCACCTCCCCTCACCCACCTCCCTCCCCCCGTTCGTCCCCACCTCCCCTCACCCACCTCCCTCCCCCCGTTCGTCCCCACCTCCCCTCACCCACCTCCCTCCCCCCATTCGTCCCCACCTCCCCTCACCCACCTCCCTCCCCCCGTTCGTCCCCACCTCCCCTCACCCACCTCCCTCCCCCCATTCGTCCCCACCTCCCCTCACCCACCTCCCTCCCCCCGTTCGTCCCCACCTCCCCTCACCTACTTCCCTCCCCCCGTTCGTCCCCACCTCCCCTCACCCACCTCCCTCCCCCCGTTCGTCCCCACCTCCCCTCACCCACCTCCCTCCCCCCATTCGTCCCCACTTCCCCTCACCCACCTCCCTCCCCCCATTCGTCCCCACCTCCCCTCACCCACCTCCCTCCCCCCCGCCCCCCATTCTCCCCCATTCTCAGATCCCTCGGTTCCAACCAGCTGACCTCCTCCATTCCTGCTAAACACTCCAAGCTTCAACCTCCCTCCCCCCTTTCTTCCCCACCTCCCCTCCCCCACCTTCCCCCCCCCCCCCCCACCGCCCCCCATTCTCCCCCCTTGTCAGATCGCTCGGTTCCAACCAGCTGACCTCCTCCATCCCTGCAAGAATCTCCAGGCTTCAAAAGCTCGTTACACTGTGTGTAAAGGCTTGTGTTTTGATTATTTAATTAATAATTATTTCATTCGTTTCCGTAACGATCCTTGTTTCCATGTACGGAGGGGACAGCGCACGTGCCAGTCACAAGTCACAAGGGGGTCGCTCTCCGGCTCCCTGTTCACTACACACAGTGTAACGAGCTTTTGAAGCCACATCCTGTCTACATTCATGTTGGCTCCCTGTCTCCCCTCACAGCCTCGCTTTCAAGGCGCCCAAAGAATCTAAAAGCTTCCCTTGCTTCTTGCCTCTTGCCCCTCTCTCTCCCTCTCTCCTCCCATCTGCAGTGACCTGTCGCGCAACCAGATCTCCGGTTCCCTGTCTCCCCTCACAGCCTCGCTTTCTTATGGCGCCCAAAGAGTCTATAGGCTTCCCTTGCTTCTCGCCCCTCTCCCCTCCCCTCCCCCCCTCTCCACGCGTCTGCAGTGACCTGTCGCGCAACCAGATCTCCGGCTCCCTCTCCCCTCTCACAGCCATGCCACTGCTGAGCCAAGTGTAGGCTCATTCCAAAACAAATGGCTCTTGTAAATCCCGCTTTGTTTCAATCAACCATCTCCACCTTGCTCCACCTCGCTTAACCCCTGAGACTCCGTTCTGCTCCTGTAACTCTCCTTACTTGACCAATGTGTTGTTCCGCTCTTAACGATTTAAAGGTTACAAACCAGGTACCGAAACAAACTCGTCCTCTAAAAACCCCCAATTCTTCTCGTTTCATCACCTTCAGTTTCCACTCCTTCCCCCACATCCCTCGCCTTATCCTTTACCCTCTCAAACCACTTCCCCCAACCAACCCCATTGCGGCAGCAATCTGGAATTCAATTCGCTTGGCTCGACTCTACCAAGCTGTGTTGCAGAAGACGTGTCTTGCGTCCTGGACGCAGTGCGTCTAGACGCTGCGTCCAGGACGCAAGACATATTTTTGGGCCTTTTTAGACGCAGATACAGACGCAAGCCCGGGCAGACCAAAAAAAGGTTCGTGCAGGCCCAAAAAAAACCCCAATGGGGCATGGGGGGGGGGGGGGGGGGGGGTGTTTACGTATTTCAGATTTCAGCCAAAATTTTCCCGTACCAAGTGTTTTCCCCCTTAGGAGAAGTTTCACCACGTCACATACAAGGAGATGGAGGAAGAACTAGGAGAAGCCATAAGTTAGGTCTACTAAGAGCTAAACCCCTTAGGGTTTTCCGAGGAGAATTTGGTTGAACTAAAGTGGAGGGGCACAAATGAAGCACTTGTGCTCCAATATACTCTTGGTGGTATGCAATTGTGGTTGGGTTGAGTAGATCTTGTGCGGTTGAGTAGGATGTGGCGTAAATTTTGGTAGGGGGGGTTTCCGTTTTTGGGTTTTGGGCTGGTTTTGACGGTCGATTTCGTTTGGTGGGGGGGGGGGGGGGTGGGAGATTTCGCGATTTCGACCTTGGCGTCGAAATGGCAAATGTCAAATTCGCGCGCGGGAATTTTTATTTTTCGGTCAGACCGGAAAAAAAACACCCCATGCGTCTTGCGTCTAAATTTGCGTCTTGCGTCCTGCGTCTAGACGCTGCGTCCAGTCGCAGGACGCAGGACGCGCCGTGCGTCTTCTGCAACACAGCTACCAAGCACTATCTCCAAGCTGAAGTGGGAATCGACTCAAAAGTCTACACTCCCTCCCCCCCCTCCCTCCCTCCCTGCAACAGCAATCTGGAATTCAATCTGCTCGGCTCGACTCTGCCAAGCACTATCTCCAAACTCAAGAGGCTAACTGAGCTGTACGTTGCTCACCAACTTGCCGGCTTGTGTGTTGTCTTTGGTGGCAACCGGGTAGGGTAACCCTGTGGTATGTAACCACGTGGTAACCACAAAAGGCCAAGCTCTATCTTCAGACTCAAGAGGCTAACAGCTGTATGTACCGTAGTTTGTCGACCCTTAGGTGTATGGTAGTAGCAACCTTGTAACCACGTGGTAACCACATGTGGGCCAAGCTCTATATCCAAACTCAAGAGGCTAACTGAACTGTATATGTTGCTTGTGTGCCCTCCCTTGGTGTGTGGTGGCAACCTGGTAACCACGTGGTAAGCATGAGGTAACCACAAGAGGTCAAACTCGCTCTCCAAACTCAAGAGCCTAACTGAACTGTCTGTTTCCTGTGTGCCCCTTGCCCTTGGTGTGCGGTGGCAAATTGGTAAGCCATGCGGTAACCATGTGCGCATGGTAACCATTTGGTCGCTGTGGGCTAGCCCATTTGGGAACTGTGTGTAACTGTGTGGTAATAACAACAGCACAGTGGTTCTGTGGTGTCCGTCCCACTCTCCACTCTGCCTGTTCAGGTCTCTCACTGGTAACAAGATCAGCGGTCCTGTGCCTCCGTCTATCTCAGGCCTCTTCAATCAACCTTGTGGTTTCATGATGTCCCTCCCGCTCTCCACTCTGCCTGTTCAGGTCTCTCACAGACAACAAAATCAGTGGGTCAGTGCCTCGGGCCATCTCAGGCCTCTCTAACCTCCAGCTCCTGTAAGGTTCCCTGTTGCGTGTTGAGGGAATGAGCCCCTTTGTTTTCGTTTGAAAATACGACTTTTGAGACATCTCAAGCCTCTGATCTGAGGTGCTGCTTATCCATCCTCTCTTCTGCATCCACTCTTCTTCATCCACTCTTTCATCCACTCTTCTTCATCCACTATTCTTGTGTGTGATGTGATGTGATGTGATGTGATGTGATGTGATGTGATGTGATGCGATGGGATGCGATGCGATGCGATGCGATGCGATGTGATGATGCTGCAGGTACCTGGGAACCAACAACATCACGGGTTCTATCCCATCTGCCATTGGCTCTCTCAAGAAACTTGTTGCCTTGTATGTCATGCGATGTCAAAACCATCCCATCTGCCATCGGCTCTCTGAAGAAACTCGTTGCCCTGTATGTCATGCGATGCAGCCAGAACCGCCTGTCTCCATCCATTTTGATAAAAACCACCAATCCACTTATGGTTAATATTACTTTGATGATTTGCGGCTCTCTGAGAAACTCCTTGCCTTGTATGGGATGCAGCTAGAACTGCCTGCCTCCATGATTTTGGGACGGGTTGCGAGCAGACGTGAGTCGACTCATAGCCTTCCCATCCCATCTGCCCTCTCAGCAGACCTGTCATACAATCCCATGCCAGGCAGCCTGCTGTGGAGGCGCTTCGCTCAGAGAGGATATGTCTCTCCTTTTTGTTAGAGCTTGAGCTTAGAATGGATACATTAGTAATGAGCTCAAGGCTCTTTAAGTACATCGGAAATGGGCAAGGTAAGGATGGGGAGAGAATCGGGGGCAATCCTAGGGGATTGGGGGTAATCCCAAGGCAATCTCCAATTGGTGGGTTGGAGATTGCTTGGAGATCACATTTGGGTTTGGTTGGGATGTGGGTGTACACCCAACCAAACACAAAGTGCACACTAAACTAGGATATAAAAGTGCAAGTACAAAATGTGAGATTGAGGGCTAACACTAACACTTTTACCCTCTCCCCTCCCACCAAGCAGGGCTCTGTCATACAACCCTGTTTCAGGCCGCGTGCCAGTGGTATGTCCTGATCACTTTCCCCCTTTCCCCTTCCAACCTCCCCCTCTCTCCTACCCTCTCCCCATTCGACCAGGGACCTGTCATACAACACCGTTTCAGGCAGCGTGCTAATGGTGTGTTCCCCCCCTAGTCACCTTCCCCCTTTCCCCTTCCAACCTCCCCCATGCCTAAAAATTACACTCTCCCTCCCTTACCCACCCTCCCACCGCCCAACCCAACCAGGGACCTGTCATACAACCCCATATCAGGCAGCCTACCTGCAGCCATGGGCCCGCTACCTCCCATTTTGGGCGCCTCAAAAATACACTTTCTCTCCTTTAACCACCCCACCCTCCCACCCACCCCACCGTCTTCCCCCCATCCAACCAGAGACCTGTCATTCAAACCCATAACAGGCAGCCTGCCTGCAGCATGGAGCTCCCTTCAGTACCGTACCTAAAAAGTACACTCTCTCTCCCTCCCTTACCCGCCCTCCCACCGCACCGCCCACCCCAACCAGGGACATGTCATACAACCCCATATCAGGCAGCCTGCCTGCAGCCATGGGCTCCCTCAAATCCCTCAGAATGCTGTATGTTGCATTAGCATTCAACACACCACCCAACCCAACCCCTTACTTCATATCCTGATTCTCAAATATCCAATTGCCTCCATCAGCACATGTCTGGATTGGATCAGTGTCTTCTCATTCACACTGGTGTCTCATTCTCACTAGTGTCTCATTCTCACTAGTGTCTTATTCTCACTATTGACTCATTCTCGGAATCACTGCTGGTTTGCACTGCCAAATGGTCTCCCTTCCTTCTAGGTTACATTTGAGAAATCTCTGAAGTACCTCAGATGTCACTGTACAGCGCTTCCTTCGCTGTTTGATTCTTCTCTTACTCACCGTTCTACCCGTCTAGCTCTTCCTCTTTTGCACTGCCATGCAGCCCTCCTTCCGTCTTCGTCCCTCCCTTCACTATCGTAATCACCCTAGCTCTCACTCTTCCTTTCCCTTGGTGACAAGTTTAGTAGCGGAGAGGTTAGAGTTGCATGCCTCAACTCAACCACCCCGAAGGGTCTAGTTTTGAGACGCCTCATAACGAGGTTGGAGCAGCATGCCTCAACAACCCCGAAGGGCCTTCCTCCTTGTATCTTCTCCCACCCGGCTCCTTTTGAGACGTCTCAAAACTAGTATCTTCTCCCACCCGGCTCCTTTTGAGACGTCTCAAAACTAGTATCTTCTCCCACCCGGCTCCTTTTGAGACGTCTCAAAACTAGTATCTTCTCCCACCCGGCTCCTTTTGGGACGTCTCAAAACTAGTATCTTCTCCCACCCGGCTCCTTTTGAGACGTCTCAAAACTAGTATCTTCTCCCACCCGGCTCCTTTTGGGACGTCTCAAAACTAGTATCTTCTCCCACCCGGCTCCTTTTGAGACGTCTCAAAACTAGTATCTTCTCCCACCCGGCTCCTTTTGAGACGTCTCAAAACTAGTATCTTCTCCCACCCGGCTCCTTTTGGGACGTCTCAAAACTAGTATCTTCTCCCACCCGGCTCCTTTTGAGACGTCTCAAAACTAGTATCTTCTCCCACCCGGCTCCTCTTGAGACGTCTCAAAACTAGTATCTTCTCCCACCCGGCTCCTTTTGAGACGTCTCAAAACTAGTATCTTCTCCCACCCGGCTCCTTTTGAGACGTCTCAAAACTAGTATCTTCTCCCACCCGGCTCCTCTTGAGACGTCTCAAAACTAGTATCTTCTCCCACCCGGCTCCTTTTGAGACGTCTCAAAACTAGTATCTTCTCCCACCCGGCTCCTTTTGAGACGTCTCAAAACTAGTATCTTCTCCCACCCGGCTCCTTTTGAGACGTCTCAAAACTAGTATCTTCTCCCACCCGGCTCCTTTTGAGACGTCTCAAAACTAGTATCTTCTCCCACCCGGCTCCTTTTGAGACGTCTCAAAACTAGTATCTTCTCCCACCCGGCTCCTTTTGAGACGTCTCAAAACTAGTATCTTCTCCCACCCGGCTCCTTTTGAGACGTCTCAAAACTAGTATCTTCTCCCACCCGGCTCCTTTTGAGACGTCTCAAAACTAGTATCTTCTCCCACCCGGCTCCTTTTGAGACGTCTCAAAACTAGTATCTTCTCCCACCCGGCTCCTTTTGAGACGTCTCAAAACTAGTATCTTCTCCCACCCGGCTCCTTGAATCACCTGTTCCTTCCCTCCTGCTATCATCTCCCCCCTTCCAGTGACATCAAGTCAGCATGTCTCAACAACTCTCTTCCTCTCACCCTTACAAAGCTGCAAGCGCTAGATAGCATGTAAGCTTGAGAGCATGTGAGCTTGAGAGCATGTGAGCTTGAGAGCATGTGAGCTTGAGAGCATGTGAGCTTGAGAGCATGTGAGCCAATGTTGCTACCCTTGAGTTAACTCGGTAGGTAGGCAGTGTACTCTCTTCCTCTCACCCTTACAAAGTTGCAAGCGCTTGACAGCATGTGAGCTTGGCAGCGACTTTTGAGATTACTCAAAAGGCGCTTGAGAGCATGTGAGCTTAAAACCCGAGGTCCACAGGTTTCAAAGGTAGGAAGGTTAGTTGGACCTGGTGACCCAACCAAAGGCAGGAAGGTTGGTTGGACCTGGTGACCCAACCAAAGGTAGGAAGGTTGGGTGGACCTGGTGACCCAACCAAAGGTAGGAAGGTTGGGTGGACCTGGTGACCCAACCAAAGGTAGGAAGGTTGGTTGGACCTGGTGACCCAACCAAAGGTAGGAAGGTTGGTTGGACCTGGTGACCCAACCAAAGGTAGGAAGGTTGGTTGGACCTGGTGACCCAACCAAAGGTAGGAAGGTTGGTTCGACCTGGTGACCCAACCAAAGGTAGGAAGGTTGGTTGGACCTGGTGACCCAACCAAAGGTAGGAAGGTTGGTTCGACCTGGTGACCCAACCAAAGGTAGGAAGGTTGGGTGGACCTGGTGACCCAACCAAAGGTAGGAAGGTTGGTTGGACCTGGTGACCCAACCAAAGGTAGGAAGGTTGGTTGGACCTGGTGACCCAACCAAAGGTAGGAAGGTTGGGTGGACATGGTGACCCAACCAAAGGTAGGAAGGTTGGTTGGACCTGGTGACCCAACCAAAGGTAGGAAGGTTGGTTGGACCTGGTGACCCAACCAAAGGTAGGAAGGTTGGTTGGACCTGGTGACCCAACCAAAGGTAGGAAGGTTGGTTGGACCTGGTGACCCAACCAAAGGTAGGAAGGTTGGTTGGACCTGGTGACCCAACCAAAGGTAGGAAGGTTGGTTGGACCTGGTGACCCAACCAAAGGTAGGAAGGTTGGTTGGACCTGGTGACCCAACCAAAGGTAGGAAGGTTGGTTGGACCTGGTGACCCAACCAAAGGTAGGAAGGTTGGTTGGACCTGGTGACCCAACCAAAGGTAGGAAGGTTGGTTGGACCTGGTGACCCAACCAAAGGTAGGAAGGTTGGTTGGACCTGGTGACCCAACCAAAGGTAGGAAGGTTGGTTGGACCTGGTGACCCAACCAAAGGTAGGAAGGTTGGTTGGACCTGGTGACCCAACCAAAGGTAGGAAGGTTGGTTGGACCTGGTGACCCAACCAAAGGTAGGAAGGTTGGTTGGACCTGGTGACCCAACCAAAGGTAGGAAGGTTGGTTGGACCTGGTGACCCAACCAAAGGTAGGAAGGTTGGTTGGACCTGGTGACCCAACCAAAGGTAGGAAGGTTGGTTGGACCTGGTGACCCAACCAAAGGTAGGAAGGATGAGGCAATCTAGGGAAACTTGAGCTTCCGGTTTTAAGAGCATGTGAGCTTGAGGGCAGGTGAGCTTGAGAGCATGTGAGCTTGAGAGCATGTGAGCTTGAGAGCATGTGAGCTTGAGAGCATGTGAGCTTGAGGGCATGTGAGCTTGAGGGCATGTGAGCTTGAGGGCATGTGAGCTTGAGAGCATGTGAGCTTGAGAGCATGTGAGCTTGAGGGCATGTGAGCTTGAGGGCATGTGAGCTGGAGGGCATGTGAGCTTGAGAGCATGTGAGCTTGAGAGCATGTGAGCTTGAGGGCATGTGAGCTTGAGAGCATGTGAGCTTGAGATCATGTGAGCTTGAGAGCATGTGAGCTTGAGAGCATGTGAGCTTGAGAGCATGTGAGCTTGAGAGCATGTGAGCTTGAGAGCATGTGAGCTTGAGAGCATGTGAGCTTGAGAGCATGTGAGCTTGAGAGCATGTGAGCTTGAGAGCATGTGAGCTTGAGAGCATGTGAGCTTGAGAGCATGTGAGCTTGAGAGCATGTGAGCTTGAGAGCATGTGAGCTTGAGAGCATGTGAGCTTGAGCGCATGTGAGCTTGAGAGCATGTGAGCTTGAGAGCATGTGAGCTTGAGAGCATGTGAGCTTGAGGGAATGTGAGCTTGAGGGCATGTGAGCTTGAGGGCATGTGGGCTTGAGGGCATGTGAGCTTGAGGGCATGTGAGCTTGAGAGCATGTGAGCTTGAGAGCATGTGAGCTTGAGAGCATGTGAGCTTGAGAGCATGTGAGCTTGAGGGCATGTGAGCTTGAGAGCATGTGAGCTTGAGGGCATGTGAGCTTGAGAGCATGTGAGCTTGAGAGCATGTGAGCTTGAGAGCATGTGAGCTTGAGAGCATGTGAGCTTGAGAGCATGTGAGCTTGAGAGCATGTGATCTTGACCTATAAGCTTGTGAGGTACGACAGGAGCTATGGTCTTGTTCCGGCTCTTTCGCTTGCTCCGCATGTTGCTCCTCTCTGTGCCTTCTTTTCCTGCTCTCCCCTCCTCTGGTCGACTCAAGATCATTGCGTGTTGCTCGCTCTGTGCCTCCTTTCCATTCCCTCCTCTCCCCCTCAGTAAGCGATTTTTGAGAATTCTAAAAAATCGCTCACAATGGTTGACAGTCAGCTCTGCGGCTCGTTGACATCCTCCCACTCAGTCTCCCTGTATCTCCCTTCCCCCGTTCTTTCTTTGCCTCCTTTCCCCCGTGCTCTCTCTGTCCCCTTTCCCCCGTGCCCTCTCTCTCTGTCCCCTTTCCCCCGTGCCCTCTCTCTCTGTCCCCTTTCCCCCGTGCCCTCTCTCTCTGTCCACTTTCCCCCGTGCCCTCTCTCTCTGTCCCCTTTCCCCCGTGCCCTCTCTCTCTGTCCCCTTTCCCCCATGCCCTCTCTCTCTGTCCCCTTTCCCCTGCAGCAACTTGCACTACAGCCAGCTCTCTAGCTCATTTCCCGGCTTCCTCGCTAACCTGACGTTTCTGACTTTAATGTAAGCATGATGTAGGTAGGCATGATGGCCCCTGTTATCAGGTGTCTGTCTGGGCATGATAACAAGGGCTTTACTAATTCACTCTCGCCTTGACAACTCATTGACGCAGCTTACCAGCACATTCACATGTTCGCCTTGCCGCCTCTCCACTCCACTTGCAGCCTTTCCACTCCACTTGCCGCCTCCCTCCCTCCTCAGTCGCTTCAATAGCTGCAGCCCCCGTGTCCTTCCCTCTCTCTCCTTCCCTCAAATTATGTAGCTCTTGTACACTTCCCTCCCTCCCCTTCCCCGCACCAAGTGACATGAGTGGTAACCAGATCAGCGGCTCCCTCCCATCCTCGTTAGGAAAATTCACAAACCTCTACAGACTGTAAGGGACACTTAATGTCCATAGCCATACCATGTCACGCCATGCCATGCCTTGCCATGCTACGCCACGCCATGCCACGCCACTCCACGCCACGCCATAGCATAGCATAGCATAGCATAGCATACCATGCCAGGCCAGGCCATGCCATGCCACATACCATCCAATGCCATGCCATACCACGCCATGCTATGCCAAACCACACCATGCCATACCATACCATACCATACCATACCATACCATACCCTACCCTACCGTACCATACCACACCACTCCACACCACACCATACCATACCATAACATAACATACCATGCGATTCCATGCCATGCCACACCACGCCTCGCCACGCAATACCACGCCACCCCACGCCATGCCATAGCATACCATACCATGCCAGGCCAGGTTAGGCTAGGCCAGGCCATGCCATATACCATCCAATGCCATACCATACCATGCCATGCCAAACCACATCATACCATACCATGCCATGCCAAACCACATCATACCATACCATACCATACCATACCATACCATACCATACCATACCATGCGATGCCAAACCACATCATACCATGCCATGCCAAACCACATCATACCATACCATACCGTATCATACCGTACCATACCATACCCTACCTACCATACCATACCATACCATACCATACCATACCAGACCATACCATATTACACCACACCACACCACACCACACCACACCACACCATACCATACCGTGGCCATATTTCGTGCACGTGAGCAAAAGTATGGGGAGAAACAACTGAGTTTTTTGTGCCGTTGTCGTCATTTCTGTTGAATAGAAGCAACAACCGAACAAAAACAGCAACTCCCTCGCCATGCCTGTTCTCTCCCCGTGCATGGGCAGGCAGCTATCCAACAACAGCATCACTGGCAGCATCCCAGAGGCTATGGGCCGCCTTTCCGGACTTGCCTACCTGTGAGCACCGCATCCCACCTGTGATCACCACAGTCCACCTGATTCACCCCTGAAAACTAATCAATAGTTTACTTTACTCTTGTTTCAAGGCTTCTTGAAAACTCTCACCTGTAAGCATCACCACTTCACCCTTATCTGAAACATCTCAACATGTGAGCAGCATGTGAGCACCACCGCTGCATCATATTTTCTCTCGGTCTTGTGCCCTGCTCTTCGTCCTCTCGTCCCCTTGCTCTCTTGTCCTATTGTTGCTTTGTCCCTTTATTCTCGTCCCCTCTCGTCCTTCCTCTTTCTTGCCCTGCTCACTTCCTTCCCTACCCATACCTTCCCTCGCCCTCCCTTCCCTTTCATCCTCTTCCTTTCCCCGTCTCTCTTCGTAGCCTTCAAGATTTCCCTTCTACTCTACTCCTCTCCTCTCCGCTCTCTCCTCTCCTCTCCGCTCCCTCCTCTCCTCTCCCTCCGCTCCTCTCCCTCCGCCACTCTCCCTCCCCTCCTCTCGAGCCTCTCCTCCCCTTTGCAGCTACCTTGCAAGGAATCACGCACCGCATCATGCCTTCTTCCTTACACGCCGGTCCACCAAAAAGTGCTCTCTTATCCTCCCATTTGCTCCTACCTTGCAGGGAATCAGTTCTAGGTCTCACTCCTTGCATTCTTTCATTCGAGTCTATTTAAAATGCTCCTGTCTCCTCCCCCCGCCCTCCCTGGCAGCCAACTTGGAGGGAATCAGCTGTCAGGTTCGCTGCTAGCATTCTTTTCCAATAGTCGAACCCAAATTTCACATTTCCCCTCGCCTGACTCTCCTCCCCCCGCCCTCCCCGGCAGTCAACTTGGAGGGAATCAGCTGTCAGGTTCGCTGCCGGCATTCTTTTCCAATATTCGAATCCAAAATTCACATTTCCCCTCGCCTGCCTCTCCTCCCCCCGCCCTCCCCGGCAGTCAACTTGGAGGGAATCAGCTGTCAGGTTCGCTGCCAGCATTCTTTTCCAATAGTCGAATCCAAAATTCACATTTCCCCTCGCTTGCCTCTCCTCCCCCCGCCCTCCCCGGCAGTCAACTTGGAGGGAATCAGCTGTCAGGTTCGCTGCCAGCATTCTTTTTCAATAGTCGAATCCAAAATTCACATTTCCCCTCGCCTGCCTCTCCTCCCCCCGCCCTCCCCGGCAGTCAACTTGGAGGGAATCGGCTGTCAGGTTCGCTGCCAGCATTCTTTTCCAATAGTCGAATCCAAATTTCACATTTCCCCTCGCCTGCCTCTCCTCCCCCCGCCCTCCCCGGCAGCCAACTTGGAGGGAATCAGCTGTCGGGGTCGCTGCCGGCATTCTTTTCGCAGCTCACATCGCTTGATACCGTGTAAGCCAGGCAGGATTAAACACTGGCCATTTTGAGGCTTCTCAGAAGTCACCTTTTGAGGCGCCTCAAAAGTCACCTTTTGAGGTGCCTCAGAGGTCGCTTGATGGCATGTAAGCTGGGAAGTAATAAGCAGTGGCAATTCACTTTGCAAATACTTTTCTCAATACACTTTGCCAGTAGCCAGTGCCGTTGCGGTATATTGCGGTTGCATCAACTTGTCTCTCTTTGTCCATGTTCCTTTCACTGATTTGAGTCGCAACACTTTGCCAATACTTTTGTCAATACACTCTGGCAGTAGCCAGTGCTGTTGGGGTATATTGCGGTTGCATCAACTTGTCTCTCTCTGTTCTGTTGGGGTATATTTGCTCCTACGCTCAACCTGTCTCACCCTTCTGGTGTTCCCTTGCAGCGACTTGAGTCGCAACAGCCTTTCTGGCCCACTCCCTCCCTCTGCCTTCAACTGGTCTCTCTCCCTGCTGTAAGCACTTTGAGTGAACATCATCCTTCCCCCTATACATTCGACTGGTCTTTCCCTCCCTCTGCATTTAACTGGTGTCTCTCCCTGCTGTAAGCAGTTCGAGTGAATGCTTCCTCTCTCACCTCTCAGCGTTCAACTGGTCTTTCTTCCTGCTGCATCTGAAACCTGGCTGAAGTGCCTAAGATAATCAGCATGCTCTCTCTCTCTCTCTCTCAAATGGTCCTTTGTATTAATTCAGCGGTAGTACAAGCATACAGTTTGATTTGTGGTTCCCTTTAGACCCTCTGCCCCATTGGCCCATCCCTCTGACCCTCCTCCCCCCTCAGTGACCCTCTACCCCTCCAGCGTGTGGAGGATGTCCCCCAGGTGCAGCGGCCATGGGTCTGCTGCCATCTGGGGGTGCGCCGCCTCGATCCCTGCCCTGGCCTTGGTGTGCAGGGCATTCGCTTGAGAGCGCTGGAGGGCCACTGACCAGCGCTGGCTGAAGTGGCATGCCATTTTCTTGGCGGTTTTCGCCTAGGGATTGGCCCTGAAGCGGTTCCTAGCTGCTGCTGTGGCCAGAAGCTTCAGGAACGCCGTCGTGGGGGGTGCGTTTGCCCCATAGGTCTCAACGGCTAGGGCGCAGAACACCACGTGTTCTGTGTGCCTGTAGTAGTCCCGTTCCTTCCTTTTCTGAGCCTCCCTTGCAGCCCATCCAGGGGGTTTGCGGGCTGCTGGGTCACGGTTCTGTAGCACGGGGTCAGTGATGGTCGTGTCTGTGATCCATGTTTCACCACTGTATGGGTCGCGTACAATCACATCTGCCTTCTTCGGGTCATCCGGTGGTGAGTACATCGCGTTCTCCAGGTATACCACCAGCTGTGCCTCCCTCGCCATTTTAGCCACGGCAAAAGCCAGCTGGTTGTGTCTGCCTGTTCGGTCAGGGCCTGTGCTGCAGCGGAGTAAGTGGTTGGGGAAGCTGCAGTCGGCTACGAGCTCTCCACATTCGCACACGGTGGGTACGTTCTGCCGGATGCCCATGCGGAAGGCCAGGGCTGTTCGGAATTGCCCTGGTGAAAAGCAGAGATCTGGGGTTAGGGGTAGGGCCTGCAGCCATGCCCCCGCTCCCTCACCTCTCAGGCTGACGAGGCGGAGTGTGTGCCCCATCTCGGGGGCAGACCTGATTGCGCGTGATTCCTCTGTCAGGCCGTCGGCTTTTGCCGCATGTACTTCCTGGGAAAGGGCGCGCTGCAGCTGGTCTTGGGACGGGGATTCCTGTTCCCCGCGGAGGATTTGCAGTACCAGTGGTGGCAGTCGTTCCTCCATGTCTTGGATGGTGACCGAGTGTGCTGCCGACGGCTGTAGAGCGTTGCTGTTGCTCCCTAGCGCCGAGGTTGCTGGGAGGTCAAGTGAGCGGAGTAGGCGTAGCGCCTCTGTTGTCGAAGCCAGGTAGGCTGGTGCTGCTTCTGTTGTGGGGTCCGTGAGGCCTAGCCCACCCAGTGCTACTGGGAGGGTTGCTTGGCGAAGTAGGAAGTTGAACTCTGTGTCATGGCGGGGTGGTTGGATGCTGGCGGCGGTTAAGGCAGTGTTGAGCAGTTCGGCGCACCACGTATGCCATTCTGAGAGAGGTAGGGCGTCTGCCGGAGTGGTGCGCAGCAGGTAGCCTATTCTGCGGCTGATGCAGCGAGATAGGAGCAGGAGGGTATGCTGTGGATGGATGGATACTAAGGAGCCCAGGGGTGCCGCCGCGTCAGTCAAGGTACTGCGGACGAGGTCAGCGCAGAAGCGCTGTGACCCCACAGGGCTTCCTAGCACCCGTACCCCCTC